CCCAAATCATCCCATCCCTGTTTTCCCCAGGACAAGGAACTGGACAAGGTGGAGAAGTGGGAATAGGAACAACTCTATTTCAATCCAAAGTGGATTCAGGGTCGGGGAGGGCGCAGGGGTCAGCGTGGGCAGGGCCCAGCAGCCCTGGGCACCGGGGCTGACCTTGGCCCCACGGCCACGGCCCCGGCTGGGAACGCTGGAGATCCTCTGCAGCCAGAACGGGATCTGCTCTCCCTCCTGCTCAACCCATTTTTTCCCTTAGGAACAGCAAGAACTTCTGCAGATTCCTGAAGAACCTCAGCAGGATTTCTTTTGGGAATGAAATGGTGATGAACTTGTCCGATTCTGCTTTTGGTGGCTCCTCAGTAACGCTCAGGGTCAGGACCGGGGTCGGGGTCACAAACAGGTTCAGGGTTGGGGTTGGGGCTGGCTCCGTCGCTGTCGGGGATATCTCTGCTGGGACCAATCCCATCTGGACTTGGATCCATCCACGGAAGTGCTGGGTGGACGTGAACACGCCGGGCCGTTTGTCACCGGAGCAGCCTCGGCCCCAGCTGGCCAGTCCCACCAGCCAGAAGTAGTCACCAACGTTGTCCTTGCAGACCAGGGGGCCCCCGATGTCCCCCTGCGCCAGGAGAGAGGGGTCAGGGGCTGCTCCAGGCTCACAGCCACACCTCGGGGTTCTGGGGACACTGGGTGGGCTGGAGGGGACAGGGGGACACGGGGACAAGGACCCACGGATGGGGAGTGGCAGCCCTGGGACACAGGACAGGGATCCAGGGATGGGAAAGGGATGGGAGAGCTGGGGGTAAAGGACAGTGGGGGAAAGCGCGGGGCTCGGGGGTCCCTGGGCTGGACCTGAGGGGTCCCAGGGTGTCCTGTTTGGGATCAGGGGTCCCTGGGCTGGCTCTGAGGGGCCCCAGGGGTCGTGATTGGGGTCAGGGGTCCCTCCGCTGGCTCTAAGGGGTTCCAGGGTCTCCCTGGGATGGATGTGAGGGGTCCCAGGAGGTCCCTGGGCTGGCTCTGAGGGGTTTGAGAGGATCCCTGGGCTGGCTCGGAGAGGTTCCAGGGGTCCCTGGGCTGGCTCTGAGGGGTTCCAGGGGGTCCCTGGGATGGATGTGAGGGGTCCCAGGGGTCCCTGGGCTGGCTCTGAGGGGTCCCAGGGAGTCCCCGGCCCCACGCCCGCACCTGGCAGGTGTCGATGCCGCCCCGCGGGTAC